GGCCAAATGCGGTGATTACTTGGTGGAAAGCAAACAAGCCAATCATTAATAAGGAGATTAATAACGTAAGTTTACTATATATTGTATGTAATTCTATGTGATGAAAAAAAATATGCTGTACAGCGAAACGAAAATTAGATATCAGTCTAAAGGAGGTTACGTCGTTTAAATGTAAAAGAGAGAGCAAACATTCTTGGCTACTTGATAAAGAATTCCTGTCTCGGACTCTTTATTTGAAGGTGTTAAATGGTAACACTCAGTCTGTAATTTTTTTGACGACGAAAGCAAATTTATAATACTTTTGTTATAAAACGATGCGAGTAAAATTGAGAGTGACTATGTTCAAATACTTAAAATACAAATCTTTTTTCTATTTTACTTTGTAAGATATTTTGAACGATAATTTAATAATATGTGAAACAATAATTTTTTTTGTTTCTGTATGTCTACTTGATAAAAATTCCTCTCTCGATCTCTTTATTTGAAGATGTTAAATGGTGACATTTATTGTTAGTCTGTAACTTTTTGGCGACGAAAGCAAATTTATAATATATTTTGTTATAAAACGGTGGGAGTAAAATCAAGAACGACTAAATTAGTATTGGACTTGCGTTGTAAATCTTTTTACTACTTTACTTTGTAGGATATTTTAAACGACAATTTGATAATATGTTGTGGAACGATTATTTTTCTTATTTCATTAAGGCTACTTTATTATAGAGATAAAATTATTTTTTTCATTACACATACTAAATTTTCTAGATGATATTTTAATTGGATTAACATTGCGACGATAATTATATATGTAGATACTAAGTATTCAAATATATTATATATAATTTTATAAGCAATTTTCGGAATCAAAGTTCGATCTTAGGAGAAGAAATCGGCAAAATTGCTCACGCGTTTTGCAGAAGAGTGTAGTTGATCGTCTCTCGAGTACTCTAATTTCGGAAAAGTTGCGCCGAGTGTTTTTATGTTATCTCTCTCCGCGATGCGTCTGCCAGATGCGAACATTCGTGTCGTCGAGTCTTGAAAACGGTTAACGAAAAGCATTGCTGAAGTGCGCCGCACAATTCGGGGAAAAATTCTTGAAATCGACGTCCCGTAACTTACCGCAGTTTACGACGATTCGTCCAGAAGTTAGGACGATGCAGTTATTTCGTTTTTCTTGAGGACGACTTCTCGACCCCTTCCCTCCCCCTTATTCATCCGTTCATCTTGTCGCCTAGATTCCCCGGCACTTCCCCTTCCGCAGTGACAGAGAGTGTACAGAAGTTCACGAACGATCCAGTGGATCTTTGCTTCATAAACTTTCGAGACGTAACTTTCTTTTTCTATTTTCGATGTAGATGCCTCCGTTCACTGCTGGTGGCACGAAATGCTTCAGTAATAGCCTAGAGAAAGCTAAATTTTTAAAACGTTTTCCCAAATATAACTGTTCTCCTTACTTCAGGAAACTATTCTGCAAATTCATGTCATGTGTTTCACGAGTTTGTTTTTTCACATAAAAATATATCGTACGTCAATCGATATTATAATCGATTTAATAAATAACGATTGTATTGTTTTTGTCATCTCTTCTTAATTAATGCAACATCGTAGTTCGGTTATTGAAGTTTAACAATTGAAATGGCAAATATGAAACATTCATTGGTGTCTTTGTAATCATTAAATGATATGTATCTATAGCGCATATTCATGATGTTAAATATTCAAGATAATTATGCATAGATATTAAAGTGACATGCAAACCGATCGATATTATAACTGTGGTTGGTTAACAGTAATGAAGCAATAAATGATAATTTCACCATTCACCTATATTGTTATAAATACAACAATATATAACATAATTGATCGTAATAATATGAGTTTTCGTAGTAAAATAATTTGCATTAGGATTTTTAATAATTTTAAGGAAAAAAAGTATTTTATTTTATTTAATATCTACGTAGCTTACAGAATAAGCATTAAAATAATTTGAAATTTGTGTTATTTTTATTATATTACATAGATCACAGAAATACGTAAAAGTACATTAAGCTTCGCTAATGAAATGTATTCAGCATTTTCATGTATCAGAATTTTATGGTGACTATGGTAACAGGACATTACTGTTTTATGCTTGTATCATATATTTTTACTGCGCTATTATTTCATGATCATTTACGAGCGAAAATGTTTGAAGCACTCATGACGACCATTACTGCATATATATAATATATCGCGATATTTCATAAAAAGTTGTTACGAATTTTTTCATACTATTACGTAGGGAAATACGTTTGTTTATTACGTTATAAATTAAAAATACTGAACAAGTTTTTATGAGAGAATATCTCTCTCATTCCTACATGTGATGCAACAGAAAGTAAAAGAAAAATGCATTTTTTTTTTGGCTTAGTAACTATAGAAAAAATTGACCGTTATTTATCTTTTATAAATTCTATATATTGATGTGTTTTGCTTTTATCTTAGAATCTTAAATTCATTATTTTTTATGAAAGCATGAAAAAGATCAAGATATCAATAGTTCGGCCCTGCGACAAAAAATGAATTGTTATAAAATATTATTTTGTATAGATACTACATATATTTTTCTTTTTTAGTAACTGTTCTTTACAAAGCTTCAAATATGCAATTCTAATTTAAAAATCCAATAAAAAACGATATATTAATTAAAATTATATTAAAATCTTTTTTTTTTTAGAAATACCGTCATAAGTTAATATATTTATTCTACTTAATATTTATTTGATTTCCACTTACTTTTTTCAGAAAATTGTGATTATTCCATATCTATGGTATAATGTTCTCAATTACTAAAAAAAAATCAGAAAATGATCAATAATATACAATACGTTTCTAATAATAATGATTTTAATTGTGTGGGATTGAAAAACACTTTAGGTGATTATTTATGTGAAGAAAATCAAGTGACTATTTCTAAGTAGTGTGCCCGATGAATACAAAAATTGGTAATTGAGCTCCAAATTGTATTTATTCAAAATTTTCACATAAAAAAATGTAATCATATATTCATTCAAAATTTTGGGTTTTCAAAAAATATTTATTCACAAAAAATCTATGAATATTTAACGAGTATTCATATTCATTCAAACAAAATATAAACTGAAAAAGAGAGCTGCAACAAACAATCGTTATTCCTTAACTATAACCGGCACTTTGATGATTTTAAGTAAAAAAAATGAATTTTACTAATTTTTGTCATTGAAATATTCAGATTTTATGAAAGAAACTTAGAAATTTTGAAAACTACTTTAGAAAGCAATACATTTTTTATTTACAAATATTTATTTGATAGAGCGCCATACATATTCCGATATGATTCCGGTTACATCACAGTAATGTTATAAATACTTTATAAGATATCTTGGGCGCGTTCATTATGGTCTGAGGACATTAAATTCCGAGATATATTATTTATTCCCAATAAAATGTCTTTGTTTAACCTATAAGTTAAACAAGAACGCCTATCGCGGACTAAGAGTACAGTGTAATTGTAGCCGTATTGTTTTTATAAATTCCTTTTTCTCTTGTAGGCGTACAGGCTATATGTGCAGATAATACAGAGTAAAAGTGAATACGAAACGAAAATATTCAAAAAATCATATTCAAAAAATATTCATTCAAATGGAATGAAAAAGTATTTATTCGTTTCTTGACGAATAAAAAAGATGTGTATTCGAATGAGTATTTTCAATCATTTTTTATTCATTTATTCGAATATTAGATGTATTCACCAGACACACTACTTCTGAGTTAATAAGGTCACTGAGAGACATGACTTTATATGGAACAAGTCAAGTGACGTTGCAAATAATTTCTTATTATTCGTCAATGTAACAAATAATCAAAATACTCAGTATCGCTATTAAATCAAGTTTATCCAAAAGATAGAGTTAAATTCTATTAGTTTGCTTCTGTTACTAATAATTGGTTGGTATAACCGACCAGCAGCAATCACAATAAATCAATTTGTTGACACATATTTACAAATCATTTGTTAAAGATACTAGTGGTTTGTTAAATTAACAAAATCTTTTTTCTCAGTGATGGATTCAGTTAAGCGTTTTTCCATATATCCATGAAGATTCACATCCTCTTAGAAATTGCAGCTTGAAAAAACTACGCTGGTAACATTCGGTATGCGAAACGTTGTGACCGTAACGTCAGTTCGCGTACGATCTACCTGCGCAATATATCGACGCCCGTGTGTTGGACTGTCCAGAGGGTTTTATCGGAAAATTCGATCGCGTCGCACTGAGGCGCACTGAAAGTACAACGCAGCGAAGCTTATAAAAAAAAGCGTACAAGAGATAGGGAAAGCGAGACGGAGAGCGAACGAGGGAGGGAAGGAGACGAGTCATCACGATCGGTAGAAGTGTATAAGAGAGTGAGAGACAGCAACGTACCACATTCATCCTGACGAACCATTACTTCCATTCATCGTATTCGCGATACTGATGCGGATATGTGGCTTTTCCGATATATATGCCCGATGGTGCTATCATTAAAATGACATCGTGAAAGCGGGAGGGACAGGGGCTGTGATGGAGAGAGGAAGCGTCAGCGATGTGACCCGCACCCGCTTCGACCTCCATTTCCCGTCGTTGCTCTAAGCATCATAAATCTTGAAAAACCGTTAATTCCCGGTGCTCTTTTATTTCGGCATCACTTTGGCCTAACAGCTTCCAACGATGTTAAATTAATATTAGCAGCAAACGCGTGACGCCGCATGAAAAATGAATTACGCTTTCGACGCGGGAAATGAGAAATGTGCGAATCGTGTTAAGATAGCAGAGTTTGTTAATGGGCTGATTTTAGTTTACCCGATTAATAGGTCGGATCCACTTTTTAATTTGAATATCAAGTTATGTATCTTAATTAATTCAGCAAAGTGATATGTTATGATACAACAGCGACAGTTACGATACGAACAGCGCAAATTTTCCAAATTCACATGAATTAACATTTTTTTCGAAATCCACTATTTCCTGGAAAAAAATCTATATGAACTATGCTTTTTTTCTAGATCGATATATTGAACTGTTTCAAGCAATCAATTTTGAAATATTTGATTCCTAAATCAACAGCGTTTATTCGGTATGCAATATTGAAAAAATCGATACCAAAATCAAATTCGTTTTTCGGTTTCACGTGACACAGCTATGTCGGAGCATCCAATTTCAAAATCAATGTGCATATTTAATTACAGTATCCGATTCAGAACAATCAGAGTTTGAGCATCCTCAGTTTCATGCCAACTATAGAGGACGACGGTAAATATTTGACATGCCGCGCGGAAAATCCTGCTATACCAGACAGCGCGTTGGAGGACAAGTGGCGGCTTGACGTACAATACCAACCGGTGGTCAGCTTAAGAATGGGCGAAACGCTGAATCCGGATGACATCAAAGAGGGCGACGACGTGTACTTCGAATGTATAGTGCGGGCAAACCCGAAGGTGTACAAGCTCGCCTGGTTCAAAGATGTAAGTATCGCGAACACTCGCGTGTCTATCACGATATCCGCGAGAAAACATTTCACGGTGTATTTGCGTTTTGTTGTACAACCGTGCCGTTCATTCTGCGGCTGCTTTATGCAAATGTAATTCGTTCTCCATTAGATAACTTGCGTGTGTACTATTTTATGCGTTCTTTATTACAATACAGTTTCCGTCTGCTGGTGTGCAAGCATTCAAATTACATTATAATTGTAATTAAGGAACACGGACTTCTATTAAATTCAAATTCTATTGCAATTTGTACGTGGTTTCAGGGCAAAGAATTGAAGAATAATTCTACAGCAGGTGTAGTTCTTAGCGACCACTCTTTGGTACTCCAAGGATTGACTCGTTACTCTGCCGGCGCTTACACTTGTCTTGCCGCAAACAGCGAGGGAAAGACGGCCAGTAATCCAGTGTCTCTCCAGATAATGTGTAAGTAAAAGACTAACAAGTTTTTGTATGATTAATAGTCAAATTATCTCGATCGAAAATTTACTTGGGTAAACAATGCCGTAATAGTATTGGAACGTAAGTCCTTCATAACGCGACGTCAGATCCCTAATTTCCCGCAGCTACAATCCCTCGATAATTACTTAATCGATGGTAAGCAACTCCGCGGTGTGCACAGGGGCAAGTACAGCAGGGTGTTTGTCGAACGCATGAGAAACGAACCTGACTGTTAAGTCAGGGATGAGGCGGAGGGATGAAGGATGAAGGGGGAACGGTAGATAGGGTGTATAGTTTTCTGTGAAACACGGAACGCGGGTTATTCTATTAGAATGGTCGGTGCCCCTGGTGCCAGCCTGGCGTATCTGCATCTTGTAAATGACCTAAGAGGGAAGGAAGGACTGCGATGCATATTCAGTGTATGTAAAGCGCAGCTGAATATTCATGTGTGGGTGAACGCAGGCTGGCAATGTGCTAAGCTAGGCCGGAGCAGACGTACGGCGAGGCGTAACTGAAGGAGGATCGCGGATTCGCCCTGATGTTCCAAACCCTCTTGCGAAGCCGACGATGTCGATCTTTTGCATTCACATGGGACTTCGAACGATCCGTGATCACATCACAATATAATATTGCACATGTACGAGTCGCATACATGCCATGCAAAAGATTTTCCCCTTACGTTCATTTTATTTGAATCGCTCTTTAGATATTTTTTATTATCTTTCATAATGTGATTTATAACATCACATTACAAAAATTCTGATGACATAGTATATATTTATTTATATCAATATTTTTTTATTTAATGCAATAAGATACAAAAATTTATTACTGGTTTTATTCTGATATATTTTAAAAGATATATCTTAAAATGGTATCTAATTTAAACGACGAAGTTAAGAAAAAGTAAGACTGTTCTTGCAATACATATTCTGTACGAGTGTATAACGTAATAAGATCTATAGATTCTCGTCTAAACAACTTCAAGTGTTTGCAATGCAAATCCGTATAAGTACGGAAAGCTTCCCGGTCAACACACATTTGATTCACAAATTTAGAAGTTCGCTAACACATCTATTATTATACATATGTGTTAAATGTATATTTAAATCTAGATAACTTTGAATTTAATAAGAATTAAAAATTAAAATTTACATGTTCTCTAATAGCAGCAATTCTGGTGCAGGCATATAAATTTCTATTATTACAAGAATTTCTTTGTTTTTTAAATTTAATGGATTTCATTTGCATTAATACACTTTTCGATGGTTATAATTTCTGTGTGATCTTGATTCTTATTTAATTTCTAATTTCGATTCTTAACTTAATAATAAATGAATGAGAATTGATTGTTAACTGAATAATTAACAAACACCTGTAATTCGACTTCTACGGTCTCTTAAACATTTATTATGTAACACTTAATCCGTTTTCGCTGGAATAGAGAAAAAAGAGAAAGACATAGTTGTTGAATATTTTACAAGCGAGACAAACATTGACCTAACAACTTGTCTGGTTATTTCAGAGAAATTGCGAAGTTATTGAAGTCATGCATCTTCTCTCCTTAAAACACATATTTGCGACAAATATAAAACTGTCACATTTCTCCAAATCATTCGACTTATGAAACAATGAAATAACAAATTTTTATAGAAATAATATTTTGACAAATGGAAGGTGAAACAAATAAGACGGGGGCTATGTTGAAAAATGTTTAAAAAAAATTAACGGTTCGACCACATTCTTGGTTCATAAAAGAATTGTAAGATATACTGAGAGAGACGTGTCTCAGAAAGCATCTTGTGGCATTTCACAAAGTGATTTTCACTTCAGAATACGTCGCATTAAGCGAAGAGATCGACCTGATTTCTCTATTACTATCTCTTATCCGCAAACTTCGAGAGCGGACGTTATTCTAAGGCGTCTACGTAAGATATCATCCTTTAGTAAACAGACATACCACTCCGGTGATATGTCGATATGTACATACCATAACGCCGCATCTCTCAAACTTCTCATCTTGGCAATTAATTTAGTATCGCATAGACTGTATCAAATTACAACCAGACAGTCTCTCTCTCTATCCGTGATTCCTAGCCTTCGCTCGTAAATCATCACTCCCGCCGTGTGGGACTTCCGCATGTCATGGCCTATCGCAAATACCGGTGTCAAGGGAATTTCCTATTAGACTATCGATCGACCGTGCAACCGGCTGAACGGTGCCGAGCTGCTTCTTCTTCCGTTTGACACGTACTCGCGAATCTCGCAGAGTTATCGAGCGCGCGCGAGCATCAATGCAACCGTGCAACGAAACATAATGTTAAATATCCATTTAAATCGTCGTTAGTATTATTCTATGACAAGAATGGAATTGATTTACGATTATATGGCGCGACCCAGGAAAACATAAATTAATCAGAATAGCTTTTTATGCTTATCATCGGACAATGAAATTTCTCGAGGCAGAAGAACGTCGACTTGCATACACTTTGTTATACATTAATCTTGACAAGCGGGTCATAAATCACCCTGTACTTCAAACTTTGCGCTACTCCATCGTTGTTCGTAGAAAGGCCACCGTTGGCAAAGTACGACGACTTTGTTTGCAGATGCGCCGGTGTGCAAGGAGGGCAAGAGCGAAGTGGTGGTTGGCGCTTTGAAACAGGAAACGGTGTCGTTAGTGTGTTCTGTGGAGAGCCATCCGGCGCCATTGACTTTCCATTGGACATTCAATAATTCCGGCGAGCTCGTCGAGGTCCCACATTCACGTTACTCCCACGTATCGGCGCCTGGCACACCAGACGGGCAGAAAGAGTACCAGCAGTTTCGTGGATTCAGACTGAACTATACACCAGCTACGGAAATGGATTACGGTACGGTGGCATGCTGGGCGAGCAACCAGGTTGGCAAGCAACGAACACCTTGCCTTTTTCAGGCAAGTACTTTTTCGCCTGTACCTTTTCGCTTCTTTAAGTTTCCGCGACTTACGCGGTTTCCAACGTACGATTTACAAGGGAATCTCTCGAGGTGTCAAATTCTGATTTTAATGAAACTTTGTGAACTTGTAGCTTACATAAAGAGATGAATTTAGAAAATATCAGTTGCGGCTAAAAAACGGTTTGAAGGGGTGAAATATCATCCCTTACGTGTATAGCGGTTTTCAGCTTTTTCCGTTATATTTCGAAAGCTATTTGAGATATAAAAAATGTTTTATACAAAAATTTTACAACAAAATTAGCTGTATTCAATCGCGTTTTTTTTTTAGAATAATTATTTTACTAATTTTTTTCAAAATTTTCGAAAAAAAATTGGTAAATAATTATTCTAAAAACGCGATTGAATACAACTAATTTTGTTGTAAAACTTTTGTATAAAACATTTTTTGTATAAAACATTTTTCAAATAGCTTTCGAAATATAACGGAAAAAGCTGAAAACCGCTGTACACGTAAGGGGTGATTTCACCCCTTCAAACCGTTTTTTAGCCGCAACTGATATTTTCTAAATTCATCTCTTTATGTAAGCTACAAGTTCACAAAGTTTCATTAAAATCAGAATTTGACACCTCGAGAGGTTCCCTTGTTAGTATTTCGAGCTTTCAGCTTAACGTGCGAGCATATCAAATTTTCATCAAAAAAGGAAATCACATTTGTGTCATAGTGGATACTATTATATTTTATGTATAGAATATATTTCCATCAGATGTAAATATATATAAAACTTTCCCTAACTTGATGTAAGTTTTATTCTCGTTTTTAAAATCTCGATTTATAGAATATATATCGCAAATAAAATTTAAATTTTCTTCTATTCGACAAATTAATTTCTTTATTAATGTATATAATGCATACTATGAATTACTCAAAATTCCTGTCAAATATTCCAGGCACATTCTCGATAAACATTTTTTGCATAATCTTTTTATTTCCAATCATTATTTATGCTACATCATATAGCTCATGTTTAACATGCTAAAAATAAATTTTGTTAGAATCCTTGAAATAGTGTTTTATCATTAATTGTAATATATAAGACTTCATCTTTATGTTTATCTGATATCAAAAGATTCTCTTGATTGATAGAGTTGAAACATATGGTATTCCCAATCACTACACCGGTCATAATTTTTAGTTGTATCGATATATTTGATCTAAAAATGGTTAAATTATTCCTATATAATATATATATACTGCATGTCTCAAATATTCCAGTATTTACACGACGTGCGTCATGTTGCTAGCTATTTCCTTCATAAATTTCATGCATTGTATACTCCGGCATCACTATGCTCCATACATTTTCATTTTGATCGATCGACGGCATCTACAAAGAATGCGGGAGTTGCTTTCTTTGACGATACAAACTGTGCTCGTATTTGACATGCATAGGAGTCTTCGAACGTGTGTAAAGTCGCTACTGGAAAGATCGATCGTTCCTTCCCTATTGTAAAAACTACGATATAAAAGAATGCACGATGTAAACATAGCCGTTAAACGATATTGTTAAATTATGCAGTTGTATGCATAATATTATGTGGTATTAAGAACGTATTGCTTAGTCTAATCTTTTTCTTTCTGGAACGAGAAATTTTGAATTTTGCGTTATATGTAATGCAATAAAGGGCGTATTGGTCGACTAATGCAAATACACACACTTTATCTCCTGTCTGCTTGTTTCAGGTTATAGCCGCGGGCCGACCGTACGCTCTTCACAATTGCAGTGCTACAGAAATGTCAGCGCCTCTGGATATGGAGGAGCTTGGTACGAAATCGGGAACAGGACTGATAGTCCGATGCCTGGAGGGTTATGATGGAGGTCTTCCGATACACAGTTATCAGCTGGAAGTCGTGTCTGATGAGGACGGAGGTCCGATTCTCTTAAATAAAACCGTGCCGGCAGGTCCCAACGGACCGACTTTTGAAGTCGCAGGACTAACAACGGGAAGGAGCTATCGACTTTTCCTATACGCGATTAATGCGAAGGGGAGAAGCGAACCTGCCATACTTGAACCAGTAACCCTGAAGGGTGTCGCTATGTACACGACTGGTGAGTACATTTAGTTTCTCAAAAATACTTTTGTACTCGACGAGGCAACAACCTTGAAACTTGAAGTGTTACTGTTTCATTTTTTTTTTATTTTTTCGTTGATATATATAATGGAACTTAAAATATTTTATTTAAGATGAAGAGATATCATTTCTTAATTTTGAATAATACTGAGTGAAAAATACAAGAAAATAAAGAGATAAAACTAGTTTGAGCTTAGAATTTTCCAGTTAAGGCAAATGTACGACTGTTTAAAATTGTGATAATCATATAAATGTAACTATTTATACATAAGAATGTCGGAGCTCATTCCGAGTTTAAGGGAAGCTACGAGAAGTTTCATCGTTAGCAGAGATGATTATTCTTGTATTACTGAGAATGATCTCAAGTCTAAAACGTCTCCGAGCAAAGTCGTAAACGAATCATAAGCACAATTTGGTTGACTTATAAAGTTACTGGATGAAGAAACCCGTAGTGATGTTCGAAATTTGCGTTGTAGCATCATATAAAGTTTTTTATGATACGCTCTACATTATATTTAAATTTCTTATATCATGCAAAGTACAGTCGCGCTATCCTCTCGCTCGAGAGAGAACTTATGGTTCGCTAATTGTCTCGCTTCCACATTGCATGGAACGGATAGGACTTCGAAGTACTCTTGCAAATGAAATATTCACTTTTCGTACGAAATAGAATTTTTGCTAACTGTCGGGAATAAAAAAGAGTGATTGCATTGTATTCATCAGCCGGCGACCAAACCAGTTTCCTTTTTCGACTTCCTGCATTTACGCGTCGATCGTCGGTTGCTACAGCAATAACAATCGCGCTACATTTTTCTCGGGTCTTGTTGAAAACCGAGCGGTGCGGACATGCTCTCTGAAAAATGACGCGAGCCGGCCCGGAAAAAACGCTGAATTTCGCTTTTGACGGTCCATTAACGTGCGTTCGGACGCGAGTGTGGTTACGGCGTGTGCGGATAGCGCCTATTATACACGATGATAGGCGTCGCAAGGACGGTGGATATGATCGCAATTTCACAAATACTGCGAGCGAGCGCGTCAGTATTGCAATTAGTCGGTTAACCGACCCCCGTCTCCTCGCCGTTCTCCACGACAGGCTCACACTGTGGTCGGCAATGTTGTGAGCCAGGATGTGAGGAACGGGAGGTGGACGGCGGATGGTCTACCACCCGAATGGAGGTGGAAGCGAGTACTGCTAGTAGGAGAGTTTGTAATGCTGAACGCAGCACAACGCAACCGCAGGTATCGGGCTCTGCGGACCTTGCAATTAACAAAACAGATTACTCTCAATCAACGAACACCTATACTCGCTTCGGTGCACGGGACGTGACAGTTTCACTGGCTTTCTGCGACTCCCCATGCGATTCCGTGGGGAAATAGCAAACAGCATGCGTTCTGCGTTGATTTGAGTTGTGGTCAGTGGCTTCTTCCCTTGACCTAAATCGAGAAATTCAACGTAATGGAAAAAAAAAGAAAAGACATTTATTAAATCAGAGGAGCATGACGTACGTGCTATCAGGATATTTATTTTTACGAAACTACGAAAATCATCTTACGATTCGCTCGTAAAAAAACATAAAATACATAATAACGCTTTTTTGAATTAAATTCTTACTATTTAGATAATACATTTATAATTTAGTACTGTTGTCTTTTACATAATTTTTTAGGTATATTGCTTAATTGAACAAAGTCTATCGAATTTATTCTACTATCAATGGAAACTAACAAATTAGAGAACGTGCGCCGAAAGATTGAATGTATATATGTATATATATATACGTATATATATATATGTGTGTGTATGTGTGTGTATGTGTGTATATATATACTTATCATTTGATAAATTTATTTATCCGAGAGAATACTTATTCGCGTTGTCAGTAAACTCCTTCAGCTTTCACGTAACTGCAAAGGGGAAACATTCCTTGACGTTTCGGTACATTTTCTTGTAGTATTGGTGGCGTTAAACCATGTTGCAAACTTGAAAGGCATCAAACTCAAAGAACTTATCGTCCGAGCGTCTATTCGTGCTGTCGCTCGTCGACACGAAAAAGCCAAAACGCGAGAATGTAATCGTCGACTTGATCGATGTGCTGCAGACTGCATTACATACCAAAAATTGCTGGAAGGTTGGCGTGCTCGAATTTAGCTGCAGCGAACGGAAGTTAGCTTCCGCCACTTTAATACGCAAAAGTAAAAGGTTGCTGCGTGTTCTTGTTTTGGCAAATACTTTCAGCCAGGCCAACAAATCCAACAAGTCTTTCGCACGAGCGAAGCCAATGCACGAACGATCGGCAAGTATAACATTTGCACAAACATCTCGGCTGACAGCATCTCGATCATTCCTTTTCCATTCCTGAGCAATGCTCGATTATAATGGACTCTATCCGTGCGACTCCGGCAACGTAATAGAAAGTCATTGGTAACATACGGTCGCGGGTCAACATGGGGTTAATTCAGTTTACCACCGATTTCTAACCCCACCAACCACGTAGTCCCACCACTCCACATCTTCATGTTTCCTCCGCGCTCTCTCCTCATCGTCGTCCTTCACCACCGAGTTCAACCCTCCTTCCTTCCTTCTTCACTAATTCCGACACGCCTGACTTTGCAATCTGGTTCTCTGTGTGCGAGGGTGGTGAGGTGCAAATATTGATTTGACAACCGTAACCTCGCGGCGCTGATTTGCCCGAATAGCGGCCTGTCTACGAACCATCGAAGCCAATTTGCGGACTCTTTGTGTTGTCCCCGTCTAGCATTGTCCTATAAAGAGCCGCAGGGGTCTGTTAGCGACAGAAGACACTGGGCCAGCTTTTGTGACTGCGTTTTTAACATCTGCGATTGTTTATTCTGATCCGCGAAATCAATATTCTCTATTATTCCTTCGTAGAAATCACAACGTACATATTTTATCTCTACATATAAGATAATAAAACTAGTTAAATAAAAGAATTTATATATTTGGTCAAAGCAGATTTTAACGCTTAAATATTTCTGTATGAATTTATATATTTATCCGATTCTATAAACTGCGCGTGGAAATCTTTTTCTGTCTTGAAATGCGATCCTGATAAGAACCAGAGTAGTAATGTCACTTTATTAAATTGAGAAGCAATGTTAACGAGAACCTTATCTGCGAATAATTATTGAGAAATATATTGTATTATCTCAGCCAGAATTTGAACTTGGAACTTTTGACTTTCCGAGATCAATTCGATCACTGAGGCTTCGGCAATAACCAATAACTAATATAAGGGAACGTAGTATTTTAAGGAGACAAAGAATAAGCAACATGATACGAATTTAGACCGATAAGAATAAATCTAATTAAATAAGATAATTCGATCCTATATTCAGTAAAAATAATAAAAATATTTAAATATTTAAATACACTGCCTTTGATATGTTTATCAGCGTAAAAATAAAACATTTGAAAAAATGGTTTATTGAAGATCGGTAAAGTTTGATATTAGAGTAAAGTAGATGTACAAACCGTATAATTTATGTTTACCCCCGTACACAGAGAATGAAGGTGAATCTCCATTTTACACTTCTCGCTTATTACGCGCCGCGCGTTCTGAAAATTCTCCCCTTTTCCTTTACTCCAACAAACCGTGGCGGTTCGCACGGAGATCTTCTACTGAAATGTTTTTGCGTACTTTACCGGTACCTCCTGTGAGGAACAAGAAGTGCCCGCGAACGAGACGCTAGTCGGTAACGATACCGACGTGCCGAGAAGAAGATATGATTCAAGTCGAGAAGTTCCTCTCGCCACAGCGTGAGAACAAGAAAAACGGTAACTCGACGCGGCACGCCGCGGTGGCACAAGAAAACGAGCACAAGGAATAAAAGCGGTAAGGCAAGTCGGCACGGCTAAGACAAGTAAGAAGAAAATTGTGTAGTAGCCTCTTACCGTCACCCATCTATTTCGTAATCTCTCATTGAACGTACACCGGTTGATCCATTAATAAAATTAAGCGGATGACGAATATCCCTTTCCTTCTATGAGCTATATGAGGTATCCTCAACTTGTCGAGACCCGCGTCGGTTCTACAAAATAAAAGAAATAGCGGTAAAAGAAGATATCTCTTCTTTCACTGCTATCTTTAGACATGGTGCGCTAAAGACAGGTAATATGAAAGAAGCGGTAACGATGGCAGAAAGGCGAAAAAAAAAAATAGGAGATAGAAATGAGATAGAGTGGGAGAGTAAAGATACTTGGGTTGCTACGGGCGATTCAAATATTCTTGTTGGAGAAACTCCACGTTCACATATAAGTCGCATAACTCTCCGGAAAGGATTACGAGGATTTTAGGATTAATTCTAAAAGTTTCGTATCAAGCGAAGGATGTGATAAACATCGCGATATAAATTTATGCGGGTTATTATTAGAGATATTAAAGAAGGTAAACTTGCTCCGTTTATATTCGACACCGGGATCTTCAAATATATACATCTATAAGCGGGAAGCAAACATAATTATTTGGAAATAACTCCTGCAACATCCAGCTTTCGTTTTATCGAGAAAAGAAAATATTCCAGAAACTGTTCTTTCCGAAAATCGATCGTTCCCTTAGCTCAAGATTCTTAAGGTTTTCCGAGAGTTTTTGGTATTCTCACGTGCGGTAGAATCGGTTGTTTAGCCTCGGGGGCTGCCACGTGGACGGTTTTAGAATGCAATTCTTTCGAAATTGGTTTCGGGTTTCTGCGGGATTGCTTCGATTTGGGACGAATTACTTTAGCCACTCCGAAAAGCGGCTCACTCGCGTCCCGCCGATCTGGCCTTTCACTCATAGAAAATTTTTACCATGTGTGAAAATCCGCATCCAAACTCCCTCTATGTCACGAATAGCTTTCGTTAGGTACAGCCTCATTTTCCCATGATTTCCCTCGCCTCACCTCGTTCTCAATGATTCTCGTTTGATAAGAGAGAAAAGTGGAAAGAAACGACATGTTGATACTTGGGTCACAATCGAT